GAAAAGGGAAAACAAAAGGTTAAGGAAAGAGATGAGGTAAATGTGTTATCCTTTACCTCCGATACCGAAAACGGTGAAATCTATGTGATCACTAGTCCAGTCGCATACATTACTGAATTAAATCTAACTACTAATTCTCACATGCATGAATGGATATTAGATTCTGGTGCGTCTTTTCATGTGACATCTAAAAAGAACTGGTTTGAAAACTTGCAAGAATCTAATGATGGGCAAGTAGTTCTATGTGATAACTTCGCCTATACAATTGCTGAAATTGGAGATATAAAGATAAAATTTAACACAGGCTTTGTGTTCATGTTAAAGGAAGTTAGATACATTCCAGAATTATCTAGGAATTTGATTTCAGTAGGAAGACTTGAGAAAGACAACTTCACCGGTAAAATTGAAAACGGTATGTTTAAAATGATGAAGGGTGCGTTAATCTCTATTAAGGGAATCAAGAAAAATGACATTTATATCACTACTGGAGAAGTGATTAGAGGATTAAACTCCTCTATTTCTTCCGCCAAAATCAATCACACACATATGTGGCATAGTAGACTTGTACACGTAAGCATTAAAGGACTTAAGCTACTTAATGAAAAAGGTACATTTGGTAATGACTGTGTGTTTGACCTATCGTTCTGTGATCACTGTGTGCTTGGAAAGCACCATAGAGTGTCGTTCTCCACTAGTACGCATAAGGCTAAAAGCATGCTTGAATATGTGCATTCTGATATGTGGGGTCCTGCTAGTAATCCCACATCGGGTGGGAATATGTATTTTCTATCTATCATAGATGACTACACCAGGAAAGTGTGGGTCTATCTATTGAAAGACAAAACTGAAACCTTCCATAACTTTAACAACTGGAAGAAACAAATGGAAAACCAAACTAGCAAGATGATCAAATTTTTAAGGACAGATAAGACCTAGAATTCTGTAATGCTGAATTCGATAGGATGTGTAAAGAAAGTGGAATAACAAGGCACAAAACGGTTCCTTATACTCCCCAGCAAAACGGGGTAGCAGAAAGAATGAATATGACCATACTAGACAAAGTGCGATGCATGATGTTAAGTTCTGGGGTTCCTAAGTCATTTTGGGGTGAAGCCGTTGTCACTGCCTGTTATTTAATAAATTTGACTCCATCGGCTGCATTAAATGGTGATACTCCACATGAGAAATAGTCTGAAAAATTGGGTGACTACTCAATGCTTAAAGCGTTTAGCTGTGCTGCCTTTTCTCATTAAAGTGAGGGAAAGTTAGAACCTAGAGCCAGGAAGTGTGTCTTTCTAGGATATCCCAAAGGGGTTAAGGGCTATAGGCTATGGGATAGAAGCCAAAAAGGAGTTAAGATCATCGTGAGTAGGGATGTCACATTTAATGAGAGTGAGATGCCTTGTCTAAAGAACGAAACCGAACCTGTAAGTGAAACTGAATCAAGTGAAGAAAGAAATCGGTTTAAGGCGGAGTTAGGAAAATTTAACACATCAGTACCTAGTACTTCGAGTGAGGTGGAGATTCAGGTCCAAGAACCTGAAGAGGAAAATGAAGTAGTGATAGAAGAGCATCCTGAAGAAGAAAATCCATTAGCTAACTATAACTTAGTTAGAGATAGAGAGAGAAGGCAAACGAGAGAACCTAGGAGGTTCGGGTATGAATCTGAATTGGATTTTGCATACGCTAGTTACGAAGAACTAGTTGATAAGGAGCCAGAAACTTTTGAAGAGGCTATGAATAGTGATCAATCTAAGGAGTGGCTTAAGGCTATGAAAGAAGAGATGAGTTCTTTAGAAAAGAATCAAACTTGGGAGTTAGTACCGAGACCTAAGAATAAATCAATCATTGATTGCAAGTGGCTCTTTAAGGTTAAGGAAGGTACTAATAGTACAGAACCCTTAAGATTTAAGGCTAGGTTAGTAGCGAAGGGCTACACACAGAAAGAAGGTGTTGATTATAACGAGATTTTCTCACCAGTTGTCAAGTACACTACTATAAGGGTCATGCTCGTATTGGTTGCGCTCTTTGACTGGGAACTTGAACAACTCGATGTAAAAACCACTTTTTTACATGGAAAGCTTGATGAACAAATCTTTATGAATCAACCAAAAGGTTTTAAAGATAAATTAAAACCTGATTATGTGTGTTTTCTGAAAAGATCCCTATACGGTCTAAAGC